TGTTTCATTTTTTTGGGTGTACCCATAGCTCTTAATCCTAGAGGTTTTTTTGTTTGAGACTTAAGGGAATGCATGGGGATCTTGCAAGGTTTTTCTAACTTTCGACGGTTTTGTGCAGACCCTTCTAATTTTTGCGGACTTGGTGCCATGGTTGTTTACAGAAGGGATTTCCGCTGCAGTCATGACGGTTTTTGTTGCTTCATCTGGGTCAGCTTTTAGAGGGCTGAGAACTCCAGAGAGCCGCCTTCAGATTGGCGTGAGCGCCCAAGTGCTAAACCAAGGCCTGCGTGAAACTCCAATCCACCCCAAAAAACCAACAGAGAATCATCGTTCGCGGTCAAAATGCCTACACCCTAGTATCGCTAAAGCTCCATAGCAGAGGTATAAACGCTGTATAGGACCACCAAACCGACAACCTCACCAAATGCCCATAACAAAACATCAACAAGTCATAAAAACACAGTGATATATGCGCATGAGCAGGTTGGCCTTTGTAAGGCCAGCATCCAGCCCTCCCGAATCCCGTAACGTTGGGCCACTGCCAGGACGACCGCGCTTTTGTCTAGCAGCTTACGCAAGCGACAAAAGCACGCAAGCGACAAAAGCAGACACAGCTACTTACACGCTATTACGCTTTCACGCAGCTGTGTAGCTCAGCTTCGAGTTCTCACCCTTACACTACGCTCATTTTCTAGCCTGTCCGTGCCCATAAAACAGCTGCCACATGCCACTATGTGTCTTCACACGACGAGGGCCAAGCGGGGATAGGTTCGGCGTTTGCCGCCATCGTTTACATCGGACAAGGCAAAGGAAGATCATGCCGGATCACCTGTTTTCCTAAAAGCGGAACAGCAAAAACAAAAACAGACGGCTCTTGCACGGCGGCCATTATTGACTACGGGTGATGCCACAAAAATGGCTGTACTGAAGCCAGATCTCACTCCGAAAGGTGTGGAGTTCCCAAAGGGCTGTGGTACTAGTCCTCCCATCGCTTGTGTGTGTGTGTATAGTTGGCCGAACAACATGAAATATTGGGTGAGGCTAGAGTCCGCAACAGAGCAAGAGAGACAGACTACAAGAGCATCACCGCTTTGGCGCAAGTTGACCTGCTGCCTCTTTCAAAGGGTCTTCAGTGCAAGCCCCCAGACGGTCTGGGGTGTATAATTCCCTGTAATTTTCTGTGATTTCTTGTCCTGAGTACTCCGTAATCCTTCCCTAAGCCCTCATTTGATTAGTTTCTTAGCTTGGGGGCTCCAAAGCAATCCTCAAACTGAGTAACGCAGACCCATGATTAATAAACCCCTTCCCCTTAATAGGGATTATAATAGGGATCCTAATATTTAGGCCCTTAAAAAGAGGGGGGTTATTATTCATGGGTCTACATTAGTATTTTACTTTGGGATTCCAAGAGCCGCAACGGGAGTAGGGCTGTATATATATATATATATTTTATTTTTTTTTTCTTTTCGGTTCCTTTGTTCTCTAAGCCACCAAAAGCCCGAGCCTCTGGTTAGTGAGCCATTTCCTTGAATCGACTCAGGAATCCGAGGCCTCAACCCGAAACATCACTCGCCGAGGGGTTTAGGGTTTAGGGTTTAGGGCTTAGGGTTTAGGGCTTATAGGGTTTAGGGTTTAGGGTTTAGTGTCTGCGCAAAAAAGCAAGTTGTGTGGCAGGGGTGGACATCGATCAGGTCCAACTGTTACGCAGGCCAAGGTATGCAGAAGGCCCCTCGCTCTTCTACAGGGAGTTCGCTTAAGTGTTATCAGCCCCCTTAAGTAGATCGAATATGGGGTATGCGGGGCTCTTATTATAGTATACCCAAAGCCAGATTCTATCTACTTCAGGGGGATTATAGGGGTTTAGGGCTTACGGCTTCAACTGTGCAAGGGCAGATGGCCATCATGGGTGAATGGACTACGGTTGGGGTGGCAGGGTTGGTAGTGTCATGCTTGGTACGGGGACAGAACCTCAAAGGAACCGTTTCGGCTTTACTACAGGCACATCCCTATCATCCCTACTGTGCCGAATTTTCTGGCGGAGGGTTTGCTTTGAAGGATTGTTCAGCCGTGCAGGTTAAAGAACCAACTTACAAAGGGTTACTCTTGGGTTGAACATAGCATCCTCCATAAGACCCCTACAATGATCCTCACTGACATGGTAGTTTCCATGAAGCCCTAAACCCTAAAACCTCTTTTGGGAAACCACCACGTATCAATGTTATCCCAAAGAGCCACTACTTGGAGTCTTTCCATAGAGAACGATTAATGTAGGTTTCATTTCAGATTTACGAGGCATACCTTGCTAGGGAGTCAGCAGAAGGGGGTCGGGAGTATAGGTGTAACCGTGAACCGGCGAACCGGTGGAACCGAAACGGTGAACCGGCCGAGCCGGTTGGACGGTTGGACGGTTTGACGGTTGGTCGTCGATCGGCCAGCCGGCTCCCCAACCGGTTGGCCGGTTAGCTGGTTCGGTTGGCCGGTTGGTTTGGCCGGTCGGCCGGTCCGGTTAGCCGGTGGGCCGGTCCGGTCGGCCGGTCCGGTTGGCCGGTCCGGTTGGCCGGTCGGCCGGTCCGGTTGGCCGGTCCGGTTGGCCGGTGGGCCGGTCCGGTTGGCCGGTCAGACTGTCCGCTCGGCCGGTTGGCGGTCCGGTTAGACTATCTGGCCGGCGCCGGTCCGGTTTGGCCGGTGGGCCGGTCCGTTGCCGGTCGGTTACTATTACTATTGCTACCACTACTACTAGCACTACTACTTCTACTGCTGCTACTACTACTACTACTACTACTACTACGACGACGACGACGACGCCGACGACGACGACGACGACGTATCACTACTACTACTACTACTAGTACTATTACTACTACTACTACTACCACTGCTGCTGCTGCTACTGCTACTAGGT